GCCGGAGTCCCCAGGGTCGCCGGGCCTGGGCCTGCGCGGGAGCCCACCCCCTCTCTCCCGCTCCTGCGCCTTGAGGTTCAAAAATTAAGCAGGGCCTGGTACGATCGCCAGGGCCTGGCACTGGAGACAGGAGATCCCCCCCACCCGGCACTTTTTAGGCACTTGATTATGTAAAACTCGCGGACAATGGCAGCAGGCGCCCAGCGTGACCTCTAAGCAACATAAATAATACAAACCCGCCTGTCCACCCCAGTGTAAGTTGTCTTGCGGTCTTCAGAAATGAACCCCGATGGAGATGCTGGCCCTGGGTTACTGATCTGTTCCGAAACTGAAATAGGACTGGGGACCCAGGATCTGGTCATCAAGATTTAAGACGCTTTTATGGATTTTGTTAAGTGGAGCGTTATGCTGAGCTTATAACTGTATTTAACCCAAAGATTTTGTTATGGAGCTCCTAACTGAGAAATAGCTGTCCTAATCCCCAAACATTCACTGGTAGGAGCACCAAAACACTCTCCTACAAGCTGATCGTCTTTGCTCTCACAGGAAAGCTTCTGATTAAGATTTCACTGGTTTTCTCAAAGAACAAAACTGAAGTCTTGAGTACTTTAAACTGCATTAGTATTTGTTAAAGCTTCAAAAAGGAAACTGAATTAAAATTAAGCTTTTGCCTAAAGTATGCAGTTTTCCTGATTTTCATATTGTGCTTTCTAGACGTGAATCTTTTCGCTGTTTGATCCACTAAAATATTATGTAAATGATTTAAAACAAAGGGTTTGGTTTGTTTTGTTTTGCTTTGAGCTTATGAACTTGGGAAGACAAAATAAAAAGAGGTGTGTTTCCAATAGCGTTTTATGTTTATCATAAGTCATGAACGGAAACATGAAATCTTAAGCTGTCTGTCCATATCGACAGACTTGTGACTCCCTGACCTGTTTAGATAAAGGATCTTCCTGAGTTGCTGCCTGCTCCAGAAACCAGACAGAATGTAAGGTGCACTGTATCTAGATTTAGGGCTGGAACTAGGGCTGTGAAAAGTCACCCACTTCTAAACTGTTTAAAAGACTGCTTTAAGAAAGTAAGTAGCATAACCCTTGCTACTGGTGCTATGTGGCTGGTGGATTTGACACTGTATCATCTCAGTTTTGAAATTTTGGCTTTCCCTTGTGTTCTGTAATTAGTAGCCCCTTGAGCTGAGTGAGTGTCCCTGGTTTTCCAGCCTAGTCAGTAACTGCTGGGGTCTACACTTCAAAAACAGTCCTGCCCCTGTCAGCACTGCTTTGATCTTTGTACTTCCTTTTTTCTTATTTTTACCCTTACGGTTGTCTGCGATGACCAAGTTGCAGTTGGTGGAAGCCCAGTGAGACTACACAGGCAGGATTTCACATACTGAGCGAGCTCGTTCTTTACTTTTTCTAGTCACAGTGCAGTGAAACAAGTGGAAGTCAACACGAGAAACTAGAATCTCTGCAGGCTGTTTTGGTCACTGCTATTAGACTTCCAGACAATTGATGAAGTAAGCTTCTACTTTGACTTTCAGCAGAATTGGCAGCTGCATGGGTCCTGGGCCGTCAGTCAGTCTGCCCGCCCTTGCGTTTACCTGATTTATGAGAGGTATTTCCCTGTACAGAGGTGAAAGTCCTGACCTCTGAAGGGAAGTGGTTACTGCAGAACCTTCGATGATTTTGAACTCAGGAAAAGCAAGAAAAGCAGTTGACATTTTAAAACAGTAAGTTGAAATCTATCTGAGCTGCCGTATAGATTTTGTTGTTGTTTGGTGGTGCTGGGGATGGAACCTAGGGCCCCAGGCATGCTCTGCCACTAAACTACACCCCAGCCCTGCCATGTGGATTTCTGATGAAGCGTTCAAGGTGTCGTCTTTTGGGCAGTGAGAACTGATTGGTAGATGAGCTGCTTTGTGTGTAGCCAGAAGTAAATGTGGAATACAGAAAGTGAATTAGGGTACTCCCCTGCTCTGCAGGCTGAGTGATAATCCCATTAGCAAGAGCCACTGTGTGGGAATCAATGGCTCTGCGGAATTTCTCTGGAAATTCTCTGAAAGTGCCTCACTTTCAGTAGGAAGGTTGCTTGGATCGGCTGGCTTGTTGGCTCTGTGTCTCCAATATGAACTGTAGAAAGCACTGGGGTTACTGTGTAAGATGGCGGGGAGGAGATGGAAGAATAGAACTCTAGTGTTAGAGAACATGTATAACGTGTCCTGCTTCTGCGTCTGCATCTGTGTCCCAGGGGCTGATGGGCAGCAGCGTCCTGGAGCGATGGCTCCTGCTGTGGGAGTTAACTCTGCTGTGTGCTTCTGCACTCACATGAGCGCTGCACCAGCTTGTGCCTCAGAGGCAGCAGGCACATCATTAGAGGAGCAGAGATCTCTTTGAGTTGATTCCATTCGTGTGTGGAAAAGGTGGAGGTAGAATATTTTGAAATCACACAAGTCAGCATAGTTGACGGTAACATAACCAACCCTCACAGCTTTGCATGCTTCCCTGGGGGAGTATGTGTGCCTTACTGGTAGGTTTAAAAAGGAAGAAAGAACAGCATTCTGTTCATACTGATGAGACTGCTGTTGCCTGCCTGTTGGAGGGCGTCTCTCGGTGCAGATCTGCTCACCGACTCTGAGATGCTCAGCTGAGGTCAGGAGACCTGGTATTGAAGAGCAACCAACAGTTTAGGAAGAGTTGTGAAATGAAATCGTATTGCTTCACCATGAAGAATTTAAGACCTAAAAGTTTTACAGAAAAGGCATGTAAGATGTGATTGCTGAAGAAGATAGAAACCCAGCAGTCCAGATTATAAACAAAAATATTTGTTTAGAGTATCAATCATGCATACTATATTTTAAATTTTACAAAGAAAGCTATTGTTATTCAGGCCTTGTGTTTTCTGTGGTAACAAACACAGACTACAGTATCGGTAATATAAGTTTCACCTACTTTAATTTGTGATATGTTTTTGAAATTGAAATAATGATATATATACTGTATATAGTTTAATTATCCAGTGCAAATTGGCTTTTTACTTCACTTTTTCACCATTAGACCAAAAACTTTATAAGCAGCTTTTACTCTGTCCCATTCTTTCAATAGATATGAACAGATTTAAACTGTCAATAGAAGCGGGTGTGGCAGCACGTGTCTGTAATCCTAGCCCTGTAGGGGGCTGAGGCAGGAGGATTACAAGTTGGAGAACGGTCTGGGCAACTTAGTGAGACCTCATGTCAAAATAATAAATGATAAAAAAGGCTGGGGATAAAGCTCAGTGTGAAGGCCTAGAGTTCAGTCTCTACCACCACACACACAAATAAACATCAAAAAGAAAGAACTATCTATAGGTCCAACTTCCTTAAGCTATTAAAAACAGTTGTGCTTTGAAGACAAACATAAACATTCTACATAGCTTAATTTTTAGAAGACCCTAAATTATAAAAAATGAAAACAAGCAAGATGCAATATGTACGTGTACTAATTCCCCATGGTGAAGTGTATGTACAGCAAACATGTAACAATAAAAAAGCAAAAGCTGCTTAAAGAATCAAGTCCTGGGCTGGGGATTTAGCTCAGTGGCAAAAGCGCCTGCCTGGCAAGCGCAAGGTCGTGAGTTCGGTTCCCGGTACCGGAGAAAAACCAAAAAAAAAAAAAAGAATCAAGTCCTATAGTTCCAATCCAAAAAGAATAACATCTAATCATATCATATTGAAGAGAAGTATCTTGACGCTTAGGACTGTGCTTGTTGGAACATAGTAGCCATATGTGTTGAATGATTGACTGATAGTACATTATTTTGTTCTTTAGATGGACAGCCTTTCTATAGATAATAAAAATTTCTTAATTTTACCTTGCCTTCTGTTAAGAAAGCAGCCAAAAACCCAGTTCCTGCATCCTAGATGTTTTATTATCCAAAGTGCACTTGAAGTTTATTAGAACAAGTAAATTATTTAAAAGTGCCTTGTGCCTTCCAGAGGAAGCATTTCATTCTGAAATAGGAGCATATGAACTGGAACAGTGCTTGTAGTTCCAGAGTGTTAAGCGCTTGTCAAGTAAGGTAATAAAGTAATTGAAGTGGTAAATGGTGCGTGTATGAGTGAAGAACGGAACTTTTGGCGAAGTCAGAATTTCTCTAAACTCCACTGAAACTGTGGTTTCGGTATTAAGTTCTGCAGAAAGGGAAACTCTGCTTTCTAATCCCAGGTTTGCCAACACTCACTGAAGTCCGCCGCCAAAACGTGAACCCAGGTTACAACCTCCAGAGTTCACACCCTGTTGCCCATCAATCTGTGCCTGTTAAAATGATTAGACAGAAGAAACCCTTAAGAACAAGCAGACACTTAGCAGGTTAGCATCCTTTCCCCTTCTTGTTTAAGGATTTTGCAAAGCTGTACCACCTGGGCCTCCTTGCAGTGAGGTTTGTTTGCCCTCTCAATTGTAGTATTTTCAAGAAGTCTACTTTGGAAACTCTGCAGCTGACCATTTATTCTTTGGGGACCCAATTTATGAAATGACAGACTAAGAGAGAGCATATGTGATAACACACTGCATCCCTGGCCACTGTCCCCGGGAGCCCACGCCAGTCCTGTGGGAAGAGAGAGCCTTTATTCAATGCCACTCTGCCCACTCAAGGGCCCGTAGATTCTTCCCCTGAGCCAG